ATGGCTCACATAATAGTGTTTTGTAAACCAGGCCTATTTGTACAAATTCCACATCATCGGTGGGTTTACAGATAGTCCAGATATGGCTGGTGGTGGTGGGTTGATCCGCGACAACAATCTGTGGTGTCGTCGCGGATCAGTAATTCAATATTGGTTGCCCTTTGGGTTTTGTGATCAAACAATTCGATCTTGTTAGGGCAACTAGCAGCGACGCAATGGGCTGCTTGTAGCAGGGTATCGTGGCTTAAAGCATGTTGAAATCGAAACTAATTCCCTAACTCAGTATTTATCTAGTTCACCATGGTGGAACCACTCAGCTACGCTTTAATATTTTGTGAATGATTTGATGATTGCTTAGTTGTGATCGAGGAAAGGAGTGTAAATGAACAAAGTAAAACTCGAGCTCTATGGTACTTGAGCTGGACTCGAGCCAAAATATTCGAGCTCTTAAAACTTGAGCTCGATCTCGATTTAGTTTTTATTTGCTCGAAATTGAAATTGGGTTCAATCAAACTTAATGGAGTTCGATCGTCTTGAAGCACTACAAATATATATTTCATATAATTTTAGACAAAGAATATGATGGACATTTAACTCTCTATATTGTTGTCAATTTATGATCCCACAAAAAATTATTCATTTGTTTAAATATTAGATAAAACTAAAGATGCAAAAAAAAAAAAAATCTAGAGATAATTTATTGACAAAATTGTTGAAAGTTAATTAAAGGGAGGCATTTGATTAGGGCAATTAGTTATCTGATTTATATGAGGGATTAATCTTGTTAGTTGATTACCTTTTTTATCCAATTGAATATAGATGTAATAGTTCTCTTATTTATGTGTTTTTGTATTTAGAAAATATAGTGATCTGCTGATTTCTCTCTTTTTTAATGTAATTTGTGTGAGTAATTTTTAATAATAAATCAAAGATCAAGAATTTCACCTCTTTACTTATTATGGGCCAATGATAAATTTCACCAGCAGTACTTTACAATATTAAAATTTGACCCCACTTACCACGTGATTTTGGCTCAGCCCCTGGTCCCGTCCTCGCTCGCCTTTAAGTTTAAGTGGCCCCTATAATGTTCAACTCCGCCCGTACCGTCTTCTAATCAGTGGGGTGTCTATATTTTTTCCGCCCTTTGTTCCCAGTGAATCTGATTACACTTGACGAACTTCCTGAGTCTCAAGTATAAGGCTGAGTTTGAACTTGTCCAGCTATTCAAACTGCTAGAATTCAGCTTAAATTTGATCAACGTGAGTTCAAACTTAGGATTGATCAAGGAAGCTTGCGAATAACTTGTTTAAACTGTGACTTTTTTTGTAAGCCTAACTAAGAAATGTAGGCTGAATCATTTTTCAAGGGGAGGTAACTCTTGTGTAGGATTTACTCTCCTTGCAGATTCTCTCCGTATTAGGGATGATAGTGAGTCGAACCAAGCTCGAACATTGATGTACTCAAGCTTGAGCTTGAACTGTATTATCCAAACTCAAGGTTGAGCTTTGTGAACCGTCGATTTTGAGATGCAATTTATCCCGTAAAATATAGGAAGCTCAATTTGAGTTTGAGCTCGCTCGAGATGCAAATTGAGATTGAACTTGTGCTCGAGTTCAAATGGTAAGATATATAATTTTTCTAAAAACATAGGTCATCAGGTAATCTAACAATTATGAAAAATAATGCACATATATACATGGATACACACACGTGTCTGTGTGTGGTGAAGTTCGAAAAGTTCAATGAGCTTTCGAACAAAATACCTAAATGCTCGAGTTTGATTCTTTAATCCTATTTGAGTAGTTTGAACTCGAGTCAAGCTTTAACCCCCTTGTGAATAACTGCTCGTTTACCACCCTTTGTCCAGATGCTGACTATCAACTCTTGGTAGCTAATTATATTCTTTGACTCAACAACATTATTTTTTTAAAAAAAATTATTTACATGCATAAGTGCATTGGATGGTTTTCCTTGATACTAAATTAAAGAAAATCAAAGCAAATGGAACTTGGAAATTGATGTTTCTTAGAATAAATGAAAATCCTAGATCATAAATTGATTCTAAAACCAATTATATATACTGCATAATCTTTAAATGTGATCCTCATCATTAACTTTAATTCTATAAATGTTTATACAATTTCAGCCATGTTGCTTTTTCATGCATTCTCCGGATACTAAATTATTCTTATTCCATGGCAAGAATGAAGTTCACTATCCAATTTCATTCTATTTTAGTTTCTTTTTTTTTTTTTTGGGAGAACATCTTTTGAGATAATTTACTCTATTTTAACCAAAATATCAATGCAATGCTAGTAAAATTCACCAGAATGTATATTAAATAAATAAATTCATAATATTAGTGAAGAGAAATGATTAGGATATCATTTGTTCGTGATATATACAATTCTTAAGTGAAAATGACAATACCTTAAACTAGTGGAAATTTGTTAAAAAATTTTCTTGAGTAGAAAATGTCAATTCAATAAAACTTATAAGCGAGAGGAATTTGTTTCTTCATTAATGTCAACATCTAAATAAATTTCCAATTCTACTTGGATTGGAGAGTTTCCTGCCAACCAGTGAAGTCTATGTTAACAAACTCAAAAATAACCCCAAAAGCATTATTACCCCAAAAACATTAATTATAAACAAGTTCAAAGATACCTAATAAATAAATAAAAACCAACACCCTCTTTTCCCTTCTACCCACCACCTCCCAACAGCCGCCACACGTCACCACCGCCACCTCCTTGCCTCCCTCCTTTTTGCAGTGTCGTCACCCCCTCAAAAATACCTATAGGAAAGCTTTTGAAAAACACTCGTAAAAACACCTAATCTATATGGAGCTACCACATCCACACATAGATCCCTTATCCGGGATTACTCGATTTTAAAGGAGAAAAAAAAAATGAGTTGTATCAATAATGTAGCGCTAAATAAAATAGTTTTGTACGAGTTAATAAACGAAGTGAAAATCAAAGATCACCGACTTAGTCTTTTGTTGCCAAAAGTCAATGGTCAGGACTCATCAGAGTTTTCCAGAGTGCCGTTTGAAACAGGGAATCGGAGGACGGCAGTCGGACGGCAGCAGATGTGGACTTGTATGAAGCTTACTGCTACTTATCTAATCCACCAATCATTTTAACGTGGTTGTCGACAACAGAGCAAGCAAATTCATCCATACCATGTTGTTAAACAAGCCATTTCTTTCAACGCAAATGGTCAATGAAGTTCATCAATTATCACTAGTAATGAAGCCACAATTGGAATTTGGACAAGGATGTTTTCCCTGTGCGAAAGGGCACCGGTCGTGCTAGTACTTGAGAGAGTTGGTTCAATGGTCCGTGGCCTCGTTCATGTTCAGGAACTCGCAGTAAATGCTTGCAACGTGCAATTTGAGGAAGGGATAAAGGTTTCTGACTATTTCATTGGTTTTCCTTTAAATTTTCAAAATTAAGCTAACCTCTCTTAAAATTTATTATCTTGTAATATCTACATCCAACTAGCAATTAAAATGTGATATTAGAAGAGAGAAAATAATATAATTTCACAATTGTCCCTCCTCTACTAAATTATTTAATTAATCCAATACCCACCCAAACATTAATTAAAAAAAAATACCATAATTTGCTGTTTATTATCAGAGATTAAATCACATATGATATAAAAAAGAGTACATCATTCTATATATTTTATTTGATTTAAGATCTAAATTACTCTTTTTAATTATAAACTAATTATCAAACATGATCAACAACAAATAATCACAAAAAAAAAAATCTATAACCAAAATATTACAAAATGTGAATTTTAATACCATAAAAAATTCAACAACTAATCTTACTTAATACGTTGACAAGAATATTTATAATGTTAAAGTTCGTTCACTGTAATAATTTGGTTGCAAATTTTTTGATTATTTAGTGTTGATTATGTTTGACAATGAGCATGTAGTTGAAAAGACTAATTTGGATATTATATTAAATAAAAAATATAAAATGATATATTATTTTTTGATACTATATGTGATTTGATTGCTAATGATAAACAACAAATTTTAGTGCTTTTCTTTAATGTGTGGGTTAGGATTAAATTAATTAAATAATGCAGTGAATTAGGGGCAATAATGGAATCATATTATTTTCTCTCTTCTAATATCACTTTTTAATTATCGACTGGGCATAAATGTTACAATATAATTAACTTCATGGGAGGTTAATGTAATTTTTAAAATTTAGAGGAAGGCTAGTGAAATAGTCAAAAATTTTAGGGAAGGTTTCTGAAATTATCCCTTCGCGGAATTAATAGCTTTACAACTCCTTCTGCAGGTTAACGTTTTTGTAGATACATTAATCAATACAAGTGATACAAAATAAAATGTTTCTAAAAATAGCTGAAGAACGACAAATGGAAATCCCACATCAGCAATCCATGGACTAAACGCTATCTAGTGAATTAAAACTCGAATTGAAAGATTTAGGAAGCGAGAATTGCAAATCCGCAGACAACAATACACAGTATCGAGATGTTTGGATCGCATTTTCTGAAATAATTTTTGGCCAAAAAAAATGCTATAATGAATGTTCCCGAAAAACTGATAAATATTTTCCCAAAAAATGGCAATCCATACAAGCTGTAAACTTTTCCTCCTCACAATGCTCACAATTGCCTGGAAACTGTTGCAAAAGTTGCTTCAAATATGTTCTTGCGAACTGAACTTAGAGGAGGAAAAGATTTCACAAAGAAAATACGTAACATACTAAAATTGATTTTAACTTGCAGAAGGAAAAAAAAAGGGGAACAGGAATTGTAGCTAAAACAGCCACAGCATCAGCAAAGAGCAAACGACCAGGTCACGATTCAGAAAAGTTGAAACGGAGCTCTTGATCCCCATAAGGGTCAAAAGGGTCCCAAAAAAGATGATCTGTTCGTCATAAGGCCACTAGTTTTATTTTAATCTGAGGGTGGGGCGAGCTCTTTTGGCTGTATGATTTGCACAGCAGTATTCTTTAACCAGTGAAAAGTAAAAACACGAGGCTCAATTGGCGTGTTTCTTGAAGCCTTCCTGTGAACTTCAGTGAAAGCCCAGTAGACCCCTTCCCATCTCACGACCTTTTTCTTTACGTGTTCAATTGATTTGCTACTTGCTATAGTTTACTTTGACGGCTTTGATCATTCAAAAAAGTGGGCTGCACTGCATAAGTACATGTATATAAGCTGGTAAATTGAAGCGTCGAAACCATGCATTAAGTTGCTGAGGGGCTCTGTGACTTTGAAGCTCGCTAAAGAAGAGAAAGAGGAGCCAGGAATAGAGAAGCTATAGGCTGAATCTTTGTATTTCAAGGTTTGCATTATAATTCTTCTGAGCTGTTTTGGTTTCTTGATTGTGTTTCCCTTGTTGATTTCATTAGTCAGTGGTACCAAAAATGCCTGTGCTTGTTGAGGATAAGTAGGAATCAGGGTATACAATTGCTTTGTTGAAATCTCGCACCTTTGTCTCTTTAGTCCAAGATTTCTTGCTGGAGATTACTGCCTGCAATTAACTACTTTCTGTTTTTATGTAAGAAAACTCGTGCTGTTATACGAAGGTTTCCCTTGTGTGCTTTTCTTTAAGAGGAAGGACGCTAGGGTGTTCCGGAAAGGAACAGTCACAGCTCATTTTTGTCTAATTTTAGCATATAAGCTGTACTTCCCTAGTTTACATGTAAATATTCTTTTCAGTAATTATTAGACCGAGCAAGTTGAATAAACTCAGCACGGGGGAAAAAACCAAGCAACAATACATTTTACGGATACCTTAAGGAAAAAAAATCTTGAAGTCCTAATATTTGATCTTTCAGCAGTTCATTAACATTTTTTTTTTTGGAGAATTGGCGAGCTTAACATGTGTTTTTAACTCTTATTGAACAGGGTTCGGTTTGTTTCGAGGCATAACAGATGGGACTTTGTCTTTCAATAATTTTGTCAGCTTGGAATGAGATACTGGAACACAAGATATTCGGTTTATTTAACAAAGCAGAAACAGTTGTGAGATCTGTGAGCTTTGGGAGAAGAGAAGGAGAACTGGTCTTCAGAACATTTAGCTTTAAGAAAAAAGAATTAGAAACTATTCACAAGTTTGATGAGTCAAAAGTAAGCCCGAGGGTTGATACACAAAAGCTGAAGACTGTTGGTCCAACGAAGGATTTAGTTGTCGATAAGGAATCCAGGAATTCGCTGTGTAGAGATAATGATCAAGAAGCTGTTAATAAGTCTAAGCTTGAAGTTCTGATTCCAGCGCCCGTTGTGGTATCTTCTCCACGACCTATTACTAAGCTTGATGATGCAGCAACTAAGCTTCAGAAAGTCTATAAAAGTTACCGCACAAGAAGGAATCTTGCAGATTGTGCAGTTGTTGCTGAAGAACTCTGGTCAGCTCTTCATTATTAATTTGTTGTGAAATAACTAATCATTTTCTGCTTATGTTTATTGGTTTCTCATATGTTTCTTGAATGCTTTAGGTGGAAGGCCTTGGATTTTGCAACTCTAGAGCGAAATTCCGTATCATTCTTTGACATTACCAAACATGAAACTGCTGTCGCACGGTGGGCACGTGGCAGGACAAAGGCTGCCAAGGTATGCTATAACAATTAGGCACATTAAGCTATTGCTAACTTCTAAGGCTGACATTAAAGCCATTGCACTCTACTGATGAACATGCTTACAGGTAGGAAAAGGTTTACTAAAGGATGAAAAAGCTCAGAAGTTAGCTCTACAGCATTGGCTTGAAGCTGTAAGATCATAACTTCTTTTAGAACTTTCCTCTATTTTGTGCGTCCTTCGTAAACAATGTTCATGTTGATCAAATTAGGATATAGGATTTTAAAGCATAACCACGGGTGCATTGATGTTCTCTGAAGATCTAATAGGGGATGCTTGTCCTCGCCTATATCTTTTTCTTAGTTGAAATCCCAAGGAACAGAGATGAGAACAGTGCATGAGATGGCTAATCAAACTGCATGCCCTTGCATTCTTATTGAAAAGTGATGGCATCTAAACGGTTAATATCTGATACTTGTTGATAAAAATTCATGCAAGCAAACTTGTGAGTGTTATTGTAATCAAAGGACACAATTTTGGAGTGTCTTGAGTTCTGGCTAGTACGAGTTGAAACTTGAAACAGGGTGAAAGAATTGATTGAAATTGCATCATATACATGCGGTTCCTTACTGATCAGACTATCAAATATGCTAAAGAACTTTACACTGAACAAGTGGAAATTGTACAATACTGATGCATTTCCCTTCTTGGTTTTGCAGATTGATCCCCGGCATAGGTACGGACACAACTTGCACTTCTATTATGATGCATGGTCTGAAAGCAGAAGCTCTCAACCCTTTTTCTACTGGTAAGACTACCATGACGAAACTGCCTCTTTGTGCACAAGTTCTTGATATCTTCCGATAGTGGTTTCCTGTGTTCTTAAGATCTCCAATTTTCTTGAAGGTTGGACGTTGGTGGTGGCAAAGAACTGAATCTTCCAAGCTGTCCAAGAGTTAACATGCAACGCCAATTTATTAAATATCTTGGACCTGTAAGCTTTTTTTCCTCTTCTTTTTCAGGCAACACACATCTCCTTTGCTGCAATTATGAATACTTCACTAGATGTACCAAATATGTGCACGTAACAAACATACTAAATGGTATCACTGATGCATATGCAAGAATTAGGTTTTAAAACTCTTCATGTATTTGTACTAACAGAAAGAGAGGGAAGCCTATGAAGTAATTGTGGAGGATGGGAAGTTAGCGTACAAGCAAACTGGCATGCTTCTGGATACAAATGACCGTTCAAAGTGGATTTTTGTTCTCAGCACATCAAGGTCCCTATACGTAGGACAGAAGCAGAAGGGTGCTTTTCAACATTCCAGTTTTCTATCTGGAGGAGCTACAACAGCAGCGGGTAGACTCGTTGCTCATGATGGGATTCTTGAAGTATGCATTCTTTTAGGCGCATGAAAAAGATACACATTGTTACATACACATTGCATTGCCTTTATTTAAGCTTTAATTTTTCTCATTTTCTTCAGGCAATATGGCCATACAGTGGTCACTATCTTCCAACAGAAGACAATTTCAAGGAATTCATAAGCTTTCTTGAGGAGCACCATGTAGACTTGAGCAATGTCAAGGTAATCACTCTGCAATATATTTTACCTTGCATCAATGTTTGCTAATGAGCGAATTTGGTCAGAAACATAGTTTCATCAATTTGCATCTGTTTTTGATTGTCCAACTTCAATTGCAATTGTCAAATCTACATCAACAACCACATGCTGGTCTAATTCGTTCTGCTAATTAACGTTCAAGTTGCTGCTAGACAAAATGACTCATCGTCCAATTTGTACCGCAGCGCTACACAGTTGATGATGCTAGGACCTCATTTCAAGAGGTTGATGAGGAATCCAAATCTAAGAAAGAGAAGTTACAAGATCTTTCCACAACTGCAACAGCTATGGATGCAATTGCTACCGATTCTGATGGTCCCTGCTTCCCATTCCTTCCCCGCGACCAAGTCCCAAAGTTCGCATGTCACCGAGGCTCTCATACATGGGACTTCCTAGCCCAAGGGTGTCTGTTCCTTCTGCTAGTTAAATACTGCATTGCCATCCCAGCAGAGGAACGACTTACACTATCACCTGGAGGGTACAAGGCCGCTCCTGGCAGCCCTTGCAAAATTCTCAACTGTTTCATTTTATTTATTTTTTTCATTTGAGTTCTCAAAAGGGAGCCTTAATTGTTTCATTCTTTTATTCTTGTTGTACATGAAGTGGACTTCAAGAGTCTGCAAAGATGAAGACGTTGTGGCACTTTTTTATGCCCTCAGTCAACAGTTCTTTTTAGCTCAGTGAATTGAAAGAGGACTAGCTTAGAGAGATGACTTTATTCTTGAATTCTTATTGTATTTGAAACAGCCTTAATTTTGTAGTTTGTGAAGCAAATTGCAACAACTACCTCGTTGAAAGATTGCCTTTAGTCCGTCTTTCCCTCTCTGTTATCCAAAATTTAAGACTACATATTGTTAATAGGGTCTTATGATTTTTCATTCCATCACAAACTTGTACTGAGGACGCAGACCATTTTGTTTTTATAATCCACAAATATTCGCATCCGTTTTACGGTCTACGATTTGTCCGGTTAGAGTTGAATCTAGCCCCTTGTGGGGAAGCTTGAGGACACGACCTTGAGGACCAGGAGAATTGGTCCCGAAAATTTAAAGCATCCGACACAGAACCCCATCAATCTGCAGACAAGAAATGGCCTCAAATCTCCATCAACTTGCGCACGAAAGTGCATGAAATTTTTCTAAAATCTGTGTGTTTGTGCAGCATTTTGTTGGCATGTTCGGATTTCAAGGTAACTGCGTGTAGTATATCCGGAATTAGTGTGTGTATTTGTTAGCTATAAATCGTCTTTTTGACAGTAGAATGGAGACGTCAATTTGTCGGTCAAACATCGAATATTTAGGTGGCAGGAGAGTTAGTTGGTAGAGCAAACTCTGAGATAATTAATTATTTTGTTCCCCGGCGCGAATTAGGCTTCTGTATTCCCCTCCCCGCACTCCCAATAGGCTTCGGTCCGTCTTGAGATGTTTCTGCATTAAGCTCCTAAACGGCTAGCATTCCAACAACTCTATGCCAGTTGCCACTCCAAGCTCCACAAGGCCAAAGGTTTCAATTGACAAATTGAATACAGTGCCAAAGGAAAGAACTCAGACTGATCCTACACTTTGGCTTTCTTCTCCATGTGTAGAAATGGGCTATCCCTTTAATATGTTCAAACAATTAGGGGAAACAACAATTACATCACCACAGTAATTCGTGCATTTTCTGGCATGCAAACATATTTTTCTCCTTATCACTGTGTCAACTAATTAGAATGACACAAATTTGATGATTTCTTGCAAGATGACGAGGGGAAAAAATGATGAAAAGTTACTAGTTTTTATTTTACTAAATAAATGTGAACGGAATTTACATGCATTCAAAAATTTTTGTTTAATACTACTTGCATGCGTAGAATGGTTCAAGAATCATGATGGGTCTTTTTTTTTTTTTGCCAGTTTACCCAGTCAGAGATCGTGCAAGAATTGATTTCCATGACAAGAAGAGAGATTATTGTGTTTTGTTTTGGAGTAAAAATAAAATAAGAATCCAAAATCAATTCAGGGTCAGGGCACCAACCTGTTTCACTTTCAAAATTCAAAGAAGAAAAAAATTTTATAAACCCATGCGATGCATTTGAAACTAGAAAGAGGACCGCAGCAGACCACAATGGGACGAAAAGGTAGAGGCCAAATGAAGAAGTTAGAATGGTAGAGTTGAGTACAGGAACTCTCACTGAAGTTGTTGTGATCTCGGTTTCATTGCCCGACAATTTTTGTATTTGGCAAATTTTCAAAGATCACAGTAGGGATTTTTACACTTTTTAGTGTTCGATCGACTAATCATTTTGCTTCTTCTTCAACTGCATTGGACCGCACTGAAAATAAAGGCCAAAAAACAGAAGGCAAGACACAAAAAGGAGTGTTCTTCTTTGTTGTTTTTTTTCCCTTGTAGTAGTAGTTTATTTTTCAAGACTTCCTTGTCCCTTGGACAAATAAACTGTTCTCCAATTTACCAAGTAAATAAAAGAATTCATTCTTTGCAGTCTGCCATTTTTGAACCTTGATATTTTCTCATATTCTCTTTCACGCTTTCCAGTTAGTAAGCATTTTCTGTGTCCAATTTTATGCAATATACACTTGAAAATTTTGAGACGGCACTAATTTGAGTTTAATGTACTTCCCTATCTTTTTCCGAAAGGAAACAGACAATAATGTAGAACATCAATGGGCGGCAATTGTGTTTGGATTGCATTTTTCATGATTTTTCATGAAAAAATTACTGTAGCGATTTGATGTATGTGAGGGAAAAAGGTAATAGAAAAATGTGATTACGGAAAACGATGTAATTTTTTTGACGGAAAACAGCAATCCAAACAAGGTGTGTCTATCTATGCAGTTATTTTTGTTTTACCATCATGATTTTCATGTGAAATTACTAATCCTTCCCCTTCTCACTTTAGCATAGCCCATGGGTGAAAGGAAACCGAAAATAATGGGGAAGTAGAAGGAAAACAAGAAGAAGAAAAAAAATATATGTTCTTGGTTGACCACTGTTTTTTTTTTTTGAAAAAGAAAAAAGAAGTAAACCCGTGATATGATGCCCTTTCAATCTGCTGGAGGAAAATTAAAAACAAAATACAGTTTCGTCTTGGTTATATAAAAATATGAAATGGTATACTTTCTTTGTGGAATAAAAATGGAAAATTATTCAAAACATCCATTATATTTCATTAAATAAATCTTTTCGTCTTTCACTTTTGAAATGATAACTTTACGTCCTTTATAAAATTAAATTGATAAATTTTGATCCTAATAGTGATTTTTGACCATCTTTTATCTTGAATTTATCATGTGACTCACATACGACCATTTTTTTAAAATTTAAAAAGTTAGAACATATTTGTAATTAAATAAATGATCTGATCCATATTTATTTTTAAACCTAAATAGTACGATCTAATTTGAATGATATTTGTTTTTTCCCTAAAAGTGGGGTCTGACTTAATCCATAATTATTTTGACCGTGACCATTAAAACGGTAGGATCTAACCTTTTTGTATATAAAGAATGACTACATGCAGGTCACATAGTGAAATCAAACTAAAAAGTGATTGAAAACTTAGGTTAAGACCAAATTTTGTTGACTTGAATATGTAAGGGATGTAAAGTTAATATTTTAAAAGTGAATGATAAAAAAAAATTCATTTAGTGACATGCGAGAGATATTTTGAACAACTTTTCCAAATAAAAATGTTAATAAACATTATACGTGAGAGATGTGAGAGCAATTTATGCTAATTTTCTAAAGTTTTTGCAAGAAAGAGTTTGATTTAATTTGTGTGAATTCCAAAGTTGTGATTTTGGAGTGAAGATGATTTGAAATTTTTTTGAATAATTTTGGTAATATTTTTTGTGATGTAATGTGTAGGAGATAAGAAAAAGCTAATTAAAAAAATAATTTAACAAGTATTTATCACGAAACAAGAAATTTTTTCCAAAAATAAGGAAAAATTCCTTCTTATTATTCCCAAAACCACATTTTTTTAACTCACATCAAACACCTTATTGTGTTACAGTACACGAAGGGAAAAAAAAAATTCGAATAATGTTCAATCCAAACGTCTCATTGGTCATTTCCGGTAATTATGGACTCTTTCAACCGTTTTCTTTGAAAGTCTATAACTCCATTCCATCATCACTTCATTTTTCTTGAAAACTTTAACCATGATTTTGGAAAATGAGAAACCTTTTGCAAGATCAGGTTGACCACCCCAGAAAGATAAATGTTCCCCCATAAAATCCAAATCAAATTTAAGCTCGGTGACCATTTGATCCGAAAGTGGGGTGTTTTCGGATGGAAAGATGGATAAAATTAAAACGGCAGCAGAGATATCTTCACCGCACTGACTTTAGAGATTCTTTGTCTGCATGTCTTTGGTGTTATTTTTCAGCTTTCCACAAAGCTTCGTGCCTTTTTAGGCTGCCCTGTCTGCAGGGTCAATGGACAACGCAGAGTCGTATTTCCAGCAGCATTCAAGCCCATTCTTGTCATTTCCTCGTACATTTCGAGCGGGAACAATGTCCTCGGATCCTCCTAGGGTCCTGGAGTGGTGTCCGTTGTTTTCTTTGAATTTCAAATATCAAAACCCAACGGCTCATTGGACAATGCGACAGAGAAACTCTCTGCCCACACCACCCACCACGACCACCACCACCACCAGGACCAATAGCTGTACTTCCCCATCCCACTCCCCTCCTCAACACACAAAACACACATGCCACTCACCCACGAAAACACGCAGTAATTTATTTATGCCCTATTAAATCTCTGCCTATATCTCTCTCTGCCTGATTGTGGGCTTGTCTGTTTTTTTTTTTTCAGTTACATAAATGCCCTCTTTTTTTCTTCTTAAAATTTCTCTTCTTAGCTAAAAATTGAGCTTTAGCTGCTTTGCTTTAATCTGGTGGGAAGCTGCTATTTCTTCATCCTTTGCGTCGTCCCTTTTCTTATATTTTTTCCTTTATCTGAGGGAAGATTGATCTTTGAGCTGAAATCTGGTAGATCAAGAGCTTAGCCCAGATGGGTGCTTCAGGAAAATGGGTAAAAGCTTTAATAGGATTCAAGAAACCAGAAAAAGATGACTATGTAAGCTCAAATTTTTTAAAAAGATTCAATTTTGCTTTCTGCTTTTAGCTCGAAGGATTTCACATAACTTTGATCTTTTTTCTGTATATGTGCTGTGAGTTGGTCTTGAATGTCTTTTGCTTGCTTTTTGCATGGGCTTTTTCTGTAGGAAAAGTTGGGGGGAAAAGGCAAGAAATGGAGGCTATGGAGGAGTTCATCAGGGGATCTGGGTGGGTCCTCATCATGGAAAGGATTCAAAGGGCATCGTAGGAACAGTGGTGGATCAGAAGCCTCGGATTCTTCATCAGTGAATAATGATGCTTTCACAGCTGCTGTAGCTACTGTTGTTAGAGCTCCTCCAAAAGATTTCAGGGTTGTTAGGCAAGAATGGGCTGCAATCAGAATCCAAACTGCCTTTCGTGGATTTTTGGTAATCCATCTCTCTCTCTCCCTCTCTGATTTTGCCTATCTAGCAGCGGTGGTCGCAAGATGAAAAAAATGCAGCAATTTAATCTTAGGCATTCCTTGAACTCTGCTAACGTTTCCTATCATTTTAATTGGTTAATTATGGCCTGTTATCTGTTTTATCAAGTGCTTGTAATAATATTTGTGTGGGTTATTGATAAGAGGTTGTAGAAGTTTATCCAACTTAATACATATACATTATGTGTTAGTCGTATGAACTTGTATGCATTAATTCATTGGAGTGGCCATGTCTTGATTCAAAGCAGTAGATGAGGATATAAGTTGAATTCATCTAATTTGGTGTCGGATCTGAAAGTGGTGTTGAATTATGATTTTAGGCAAGGAGAGCCTTGAGGGCCTTGAAAGGACTGGTGAGGCTCCAAGCTTTAGTCCGTGGCCGGCAGGTGAGAAAGCAAGCTGCTGTAACCCTTAGGTGCATGCAGGCCCTGGTCAGGGTACAGGCACGGGTTAGGGCTCGCCGTGTAAGAATGTCCATAGAGGGACAGGCTGTGCAGAAAATACTAGATGAGCATCGCAGCAAAGCTGATCGCTTGAAACAAGCAGAGGTAGATTTCCCTTATTGCTGTTATTCGAGTATATCTGGTGATGCCTCTTTTATTACTTTGGGGTGTTTATGTAATTTAATTTAATTAACTGAAGTAGTTTTCTGATTCTTTGTGAATTTCAGGACGGATGGTGCGATAGTAGGGGAACACTAGAAGAGGTTAAGACAAAGATACAAATGAGGCAAGAGGGATTGTTCAAGAGAGAGAGAGCACTTGCTTACTCTATTGCCCAGAAGGTGCTTACAGTTTCAAATATTACTTCGTAATTTGTTTAATCTGCCTAACAAGGAGGAAAATGGATAATCCTTCGACTTTCCTTGCAGTGCAAATTTAGCCAAAATTTTGATTCCCGAACATATGTCTCGGTCCCCTCCCTTAAAAGTCATGAACTTGACAAGAATAGCTGGGGATGGAGTTGGTTGGAACGTTGGATGGCAGCAAAACCATGGGAAAACAGACTGATGGAAGAAGCCAACAACGATATTGCTGAAAAGACTCCACATTCAAAGACCTGTTTGGATTCTTCCAAGGGTAACAACAGATCAAGGTCATCTGAACCTGGCTCAGTGAAGGTAAAGAGGAACAATGTCACTACTAGGGTTTCAGCAAAACCTCCTTTAGTTGGATTAGCTACTCGCTCATCCTCGAGCCCGAGTTCTGAATTTAGATACGATGAGAGCTCAGCTTCATCTTCAATATGCACATCAACAACCCCTATATCTGGAACTACTCCTTTGACGTCAGACAGGACAGAGGACAGGAATAACAGTAGGCCTAGCTACATGAACCTGACTGAATCAACTAAAGCTAAACGGAGAAATCAAAGGATTCTAAGGCAGTCCATGGATGAATTTCAATTTCTCAAGAAATCATCAGCATTCTCCAATGGTGATTCCAAAAGCAGCAATGGGTCTGATCCATCTTCAGTCCACTTTTCTAGGCCTCTGTGCCTGCCTACTAGGATGGAGAAATTCTCAATGAACTTGACAGAAAGGGATAGTTGCTTTTATCAGTAGGGGAAGGGAAGGCTAAGGTTCTTCAACCATCAGGGATAATTGCTTTTATCAGTAGGATGGGAAGGCTAAGGATCTTCAACCATCAAATTTGTTGCAAGTAGTTTACAACAGCTTGTTGTTATATATCCAAATGCTCTAATTTTTTTTTCTGATGTGCCAAAACCCCTTGTTGAAGTACTAGGACGTGTGTGATCTTTGGTTCTTGATATCATGTAAGTTGTGATTTTGGAGACGATAACTTCGTTATGGCACTCAGTTGTTCAGAACAATTGATGATCTCATGCGGATGATTGCATTTGAGATGAGTTTCGGTTTAGCTAATACATATCTAATGACTGGTTAGTGGTTCTTTGGCTGTTATTCCTTAGTTGAAACCTTGCCCCTTCCAAAACCACAAAAAGAGAGAAGCATAAAAAAAAGGGTAGTATCACTCTTTTTTTGTTATTGCTGATCGGCAGTCGTGCTTGTATGGCAATCACTAACCTGTATGATGGAAGCTAAGAGTGCAAACAACAGGAGCAAAACAAAGCCCTAATATGGCATATTTAGTAGAGATCCGTGGAATCATTGAACAAAGTAGAACTTTTCTTTTTCGGGTCCAATGGAAGACTCAAAAGCCTTGCAAGACCCCAAAGCACAACTTTCCCAAATTACTCAATCTACCAGACTGCTACCACCCTGCCTGTAGAAGATGGCAGGATCATAGCTGTGTTTGGTCCATCACATGAACATCTGCTCTGGAACCAACTAGGTACATAATAAGATCATCTGCTGCATGGAATGCATTTCGTAGAATGGCTCATTCATCATTGTAACATTGGGAAAATCAAATTCACCATTATATGGAACGATCACCAAGCTGATTTTCTTTCTTTTCTTGTTCCTTTGTTTATTGTCATTCAAGTACGTTTGATAGCTCTTACCCTGACACCATGCTTAAAGTTCAGTACTATGCCATAGTCAAGTTCCAAAGGTTTTTCCATGTCTGAAGAATGACGAAATATATACTTCCTGTACAGATGAATCATCGAAAGTTTAAGTTCTTGTATGGAGAATTTCTGGCCTATGCATGCTCGTGGCCCTATTCCAAAGGGACTATTTGCATAAGGATGCCTTTGCTTCTGTTCTTCACAGTCTGGATCAAATCTCTCAGGTTTGAACTTGTCTGGTTCTGAAAAATTTTTTGGATCTTTAGCAAGAACTCCAAGAGCCAGCCAAACCCATGTACCCTGCATATGCATATTATGAGATAAATCAGGACATCGCTTACGAAAAACAAAGAAAGGATGATATCAGAAAAAGATTTCCAATGAAAATTGATGATACAATTTCATCTTCTAGGGTATCCTCCGGCTTACAACCAAGCAATTCCATGGCATTAAAAAAGAAGTACTATTACCATTTTTTTGGGCTTTGTCCATGGGAAATTTATCACAATTAACTACAAAAATGAAGCCACCCTGTGGTAGAGGACATTATCTTAAGATGATACTTCGAAACCATTTACCGATTATCAGTGATCTAATACAACTACTATGCAATAAATAATGCACTAGTTCCTATTGCACCATTTCAGAATTTCTTGCAACGAGTTCACTACTTTTCAGCTTCTTTACATCTTAAAGAATTTTAACTTTATAAAACTGATTGAACTCAAAGTTACTCAACTGAATATGCCTTTCCAGACCATCAAAGATGCCCTAGAGGAGTATTGTTGAAATTAAACCATTCCTTCTCTAAAATAAGTGCGATAGCTTATAAGCATAATCCTTGCGAGATAGAAGTAAAACCAACCTTTGGAAGGATATAACCTCCAATCTTTACTTCTGCTGATGTTTCTCTTGCAACTAAGGGGGAAACTGTATAGAACCTCATTGCCTCTTTGATCACCTGGAGTCAAAGAATTAAAAGAAGAATGAGATAAAATCCTTTATTACATCATTCATAAGAGATCTTGAACATCACAGGTTTCATCAGTTGGGGAAGACGAATCAAGTTTTGACAAATAAGAAGTTGCAATTTTGATTAGATTGTTGAGCACAATAGAAATCCTACTAAAATCCAAGATCCTCGTAAAGTTATGAATATGTGTATGAATTTGTTGATGAATTTTTCCACTAAAAGTTCTGGTGAAAATGGGAGTGGCAGGCAAAGTCACCTGATCAAGATATGGAAAATTGTGTTGAAGATCATGGGCAGTAGGCATCTGATCACGAGGACCAAACTCATCAATCTCTTTCAGCAATTTCTTCTCAACTTCTGGATGTCCAGCCACCAAATAGATAATAGTCGATAATGTAAATGATGTGGTTGCTGAACCAGCAAGTAAATGTTCATAAGTTACAGCACTGATATAGTCTAGTGTAAAGAAGTTCCTTGATGTTGTCTCTGACTCCCTTGCACGCAATATGAGCGACAAAAAGTCCTTTGAGTCAAGGCTCTTTTCTTTCATTCTCTTAGCCACAATTCCATCAAGCCGGCGAGTCAAATTCTGGTTGGTTTGGTCTACTTTTCTGTCCATAGTTCCAGGTATCCTTTTAAGAATCTGGCGGAATGGCTCTTGTAGTATGGGAACAAGCAGCCCCAATATGATTGAAAAGGATCCAGACAAGTCCATCTTAAGCTGTGTTGTAGAATATATGTGTTGATTGATAAAGTCTTGGACTTCAATATCATTTTGCTGGTGGCTCATTCTATTGGCAGATTCATTGCCTGCTTTGGGCTTGGAGAGACCAAAGTCTACTCCAAAAGCAGCTTGTCCAATAACATCTGTAGCCAATTTCAGGGAGAGTTCAGAGAAAGTCATGTCTCCTTGCGATTCAAGATTTTCAGTTGCAGCTTCTATAAATGATTGCATTGTTGGTATCAGCTTGGCAAGGTGAGATGGCTGATACACCGACAGTATGGTATTTCGCATTGTTGACCACCTAGCATCCCTGTAAAGGTTGCAAGTGACATGTCTTTAATGATTCGTTAAATTTCATGAAACCTAATCTTGATTAATTGCGACAACTTAGTTCCTATCTCACTGAGACATCCAATGCCAAGTTTATCTTCTTATTATTACATATTTCGCAGTCGGTTGCCATCTTGCTTTTAGTTACCCAGGAGTTTAGCATCATTGCAAGTAGTATACAGATTTAATGACCACAATCCAAGTCTATTTGTTGCTTTTTATACTAGATCAGTTATATTTGGATCGGGGAGGCGAGAAATTAACATATTACAGTCATAGTCATTGCATTACCTGGTGAAGAAGAGACCCTTCTGATGCAGGGGAGATGCTGCTATAGGAGATGGAATGCTTCTGTTGGAGATGTCTTTGAATTTCTTTATCCCAACTTCTCTGCAAAGTTCTGGATCAGCCACAATTACCAGAGGCTGTCTGCCCATGTGAAACCTGCAATTGAAAGTATTACGAGGCAAGCACGCATGAGATGAACATGAAATTGTTTCTCGAAAGTAGTTAAAGAGCTTTCCAGCACCAATGGATCAATTTACTTCAAGACAATTCTGTAGCATCAGCAAGGCCAAGGATAGCTACTGTTACACTCAGAACAAGAATAACAGATCCAGGGTAAAAAAATGTTGATTGAATACAAAACACCATTATTTTTTAGGTGCAACTGTAATTCTAGGCAACCAGTTCACAATGTCACATACCAGATCCTGGGGCAGAAATCTTGCTTGAATTCTAAAAAAGCTAATACTATTACTTTTTCGACCAACTGCAGTTCTATGTTGTTCTAAAATCCTTGTGACTCATATCATGTGAAGTTCAACGTGTACAAAAATAATTTGAAGTCGACTTTTGGACAATCTTCAGATTCATTCACAACAACTCTATTGCACTCGTCCCTTTACCTCTCAGGATGAGAAAAACTTTTGTACAACCAAACAGGCTGATTGAGTACAGGGACTATGAATAGACTGTGTCATCTTTCGTGAAGCCGACATGATAGACTGAGGTGGAGTTACCACTGAGGAAAAGAGTTTTACAGTAACCGCAATTTCTTCAGCAGAGATCAAACTCTTTTTACCCCACTAGAAAAGATGCAATTGAGAAACTCAGTAAAACACTTATAATCAGATTTTTTCAGTCAGCCACGTAATTACTTTAGTGACCTCATTCTCTTGAAGCAAGCAAGCAAGTGGACCTAAATCCTATGCGTTTAGAAGTAAAAAGGGTCAGCACAAGCGTCGACAGACAAGATGGTGATTAAGATGTCAAGATATAACATCAGCAAAATGGGAAAAGAAACATTCTTGCAAAAAGTCAACCGTCAAAGCCATGAAAATTTTCAGCTCAAAGAGCACGACTATGTTAGAAGCTGCAGAATTGGGAGATGCAAGAAACAAAGGTAGAAGCTGCCTAATGATTTACTCTTTGTAACAAATGGCAGTATTTTTATTATTTTTTTCTTTCTATAGTTTGGTGATAAATGAACTGAATAAGAGAACGACAGAAGAGAATGACTGACCTGAATACAGGACCATAGGTTTTGGCAAGAACAGCAAAAACGTCAGGGCCATATTTAGCAAGCAAGGGAAGGTGTCCTAATAGGGGCAGAGACGGAGGACCAGGTACTTTCCTGACAGCCCAGTAAGGTCTATATAAGTACCACAAAGTCCCGGCCAATAAAGCCAATACCGTGAATGTTACTGATACAACTGGTGCCTCAATTAATGGTATTCCAAACTCCATCAGCTCTTGAACCTTTGCACCAGACAAGTCCATCTTTCCTGGCAGAAGAGAGAGGGACAAACAAATGTGAGCCTATTGCTGGCAAAGTCACCAAGTGAAGTGAGCTTTTCATTGTGGGAGGTTCGCAATATAAAGGAAAAGGATTGGTAAGGGCGGCATTTGGCTGTAGCAAGGAATGCACGCGGGTTTTGGGTTCTTTGAAACTGCTCGTCCTGTAATAGTCAGGCTGCTGATTTCGTCTATTTTCAATGATGAGAAGGGGTAATTGGTGGGTCCTTTCGATTTGTCTCTTCCATTATTTTAATCTCAAGTAGTCAATAAATTAGTGTGTAAATGATAAATATCTAAAAAAAAAATTGCTTTATGTCTTGCGTATGCCTTTTTTTCTTCTAATTTTCTTTTAAAGAGAGACTCCAAATATTACGAGAAAAATGGATGGTTTGGTAGTCGAATTGGTAACTTTGTTAACATTAGAATTTGTCAAGGAGCAGTGGGTGAAAATTATCACAGGAAAGAAAAGGAAAAAATCCATTTTTCGTCCTGAAACTTTGAATTAGGGGCACATTTCGTTCTCACATTTTTAAACGCATCACATTTAGTACATAAATTAATTATTTTGAATCACATTTAGTCAAAAAACGGTAAAATATTCAATTTAGACGAAAAAGGCTGACGTAACCGTTGATTTTGACTAAGAAATTTTTTTGCTTAACGATTACTTGCCAAACACGTAAGTTTCTCTATCCAAATTAAATAATTTACCGTTTTCGAACTAAACGTGGCCTTATTGAGGACTGGTTCACTAATAAGGCCTTATTGACCAGTTTGGTCCTTAGCAATTTCAGAGTATGATGTGATAATTGAACCGCTTAGAGGCTTTAATTTGCAAATTTCATATTTTCCATGATCACTTCTTATAGGTCTTTGTTAAACGAAGGATAAAAGGGATAGGAAAGGAATAAACTGAACAAGTGCGAGGAAGCATTTGGACCAGCACATACCGAACTCAGCAGCAAGAATTACTATTGCATAGAACAAAGCAGAGAAAGAGATGGATTGATGGAAGTCGCAGGACCATCCATGGAGGATAGCTTCTCTTGCCTTAGATTTACTCCCAAAAGGCAACTGTGATGGCATTAAATGATAAAATTCGGCCGACAAAGCTTCTGTGTCTAAATTGACATCAGCATGGTCCAACTGGGGCATTCAGAAGGTGTATTGATGTCAGAAGTTTCTGACTGATACTCGCTAGTGGATTGCCATATGCAGAAAAATTTGTTTAACAAAATGATTTAGAAGGTTGACCACTCAAAAAACTATACATCATCTGTTAAAAAAAAAAAAAAATTTGTGGTTGGCCCTCTTGTTTTGAAGATCTGCATATTTTCGTTTCTCTTCTTCTGCATAAAGAAATAGTCGGTTAATTTCCTGGGAAGTTTTCATCCGTTGGTCTTCAATATTGAGATTTAATCACTTCTTGGTTCCTTGAAAGCCAATAGCCATCGGCGAGATTAGAAAAGTTCTCAGAGTTGAGTTGTGTTTGGACATTAGTTGGCTAAGCCTACAAGAATATGCTCACTTGGATTGGGATTGGATATTGGTATCATGCGTGATTCTTTTATGTCAAAATTGTCTTTTACTCAGGATCACAATTCACAGCATCTGCAAATTCTGGCCCGTCATATTCCTTGTCGTCTACATGCTTTTGAGAGGGATGAGACGAGGGTATTCGTCAAATATAAACCTCTCCTTTTTGTCTATTTATCCTCTCATCCGAACACGCATCTGATACCAGCTTTGAAATCCCTACAAAATCAAAAACTGACACTTAGCAGGAAAAACCTGATCTTTTCTTGTTGACTCCATACTGGTGAGTGGCATGTGCCCCGTATTACAGGAACATCATCAGGGTATTGGAAGTGGACCTGCCATCGCCAAAACTGTGCTTCAATCGCTATCCTTCGTTATGGGTAATTACCATGTCAAATCTGGAAGACACGGGCAACAGCATTTTCAAAGTTAGATAGCCTCCAATCTATAACATGTCATGAATAACAATAGTTGTCATTAGCCCACCACTCATTATGTTGAAAGGGCCTCAATCTGATGCACAATCTTTCTAGATTTTCGCATTCTGCTATGGAGAGGATCATCATGACATAAATGGAAACATCAAGTTTTAGCATCCAATGAACTCTAAAGAACAACTGTTTCTGATCACAATTAAGTAAAAGAAGGGCACCACTATAAAACTGCAATACCAAGCAACCACCAAAGTCAATTCGGACTGCCACCAACAAAAATGCAAAAGGAATCAGCTGGAGAAATCACGAAAAAGGAAAAAGAGTAAAACCGCTAAAGAATTCTTGAATCCAAGATTAATGCTGGTACCCTGATTAAACGTTTCCATCTTCTTTTGTAGCCTAAAAATAAATGGAGCAAAAATGTTAACTTTGCATTCCTGTCAAGGTTAAGCAAGCAGCTGCAATCCTCAACCCGTAATGTAACAGAGGGACTTCCCTTTTCACAGGTGGAGATCGAGAAGCTTCACAATAACCCTGTAATCAAAAGCCAAACGCTGCCTCAAATGTTCTGTTTTATGGGGAGTGGTTGGAAGCAGCATAGCTTGTCCTGGTCCGTTAATTCTCTCTAAAAGGCCTGATCCATAACCCACCTGCATTCTGCTTCGACCTTCTGCAACATCGAATAGGTTGTGCCACCTCTCCGGTCAGAGTCCAGCCTCCAAGATTTTACAGCTACTGTGTGAAGCCAGGTTAGTTTTCCTGCAAAAGAGTTTCAGCGTGATGCTATATCACTTTAATCAGTACAAGCCCCAAGCATAAAACCTTGTCGGACAACCATTTGCCGAGCATAGAATTGAGCACTTGGGCTATATGGATTCAATCATGAAAAGCAAATTTAGAAATTTCAGCAGAATGAAACCACGATAAGATGACACTGCTAAAATTTTTGCATGAAAGAATACCTTTATACATACACAAAAGAAATCTGAACTTGATACTACAAGTCAACAACATACAAAATGAGACGGGGCAAGAAGAGCAAAAGACACGGTAAAGAATGATGGAGGTGACTCCCTCGTGACATTCTCTAAGCATCTGCATCTGCAAAACGCACCAAAAGATGTAGACTAGTCAAAAAGAGGAAAACTTTCTAGACTTTAAGAAACTCTAGAATACAAATATTTTCCATGAGATATTAAAAGGATACAGAAAAGCAGGATCAGTTGATTGGCCTCCATGCAACCATCACCTCCCGCCTATACGGTAAACAAGCATTAGCATTAGCTGCTGCAGAACAGCAGAAAAAGGCAAGTCGAAATTTTTGAGGCATACTTAATCTCAGACAGGAATGTGTGTCAAGGACATCAGAGAATCATTTAGCCTCATTTGCTCGTATCGTCAGGCTTGGCGATAAGATATCCCATTTGATCGACAAGGTCACTGAAACCCTCACCCCACTCAGGTGTTTCAGCAACCAAATCCTCAACCTCCACATCAGCCTCTGGTTGATCTCCCAACAACACAACTTCTGCTTCATTTTCAGTAACAAGATCTCCAGTAAGCAATTCCTCCCATATGTGTTCAGCAACTGGATCGACATTGGCAGCACTGCTAGTAGGAATTGACGGTGAATTCAAGTTTACAATACTGCTTGGTTCGTCATCCAATGCTGCAGTAAATAGCAAAGTCTCCATCTCTCTTTGCATATTCACCAGCTCTTGCTCTCCACCTGAGTCATTGAGAAGTTGATCAGCATCCGCAGCGATTGATGCCACTTCTTGCAGGTTCTCCACACTGGGGGTCATTGTCAGCCTCCTCTTATGCCCAATCTGAATTCGCTGTTGTTCTTGTCTCTGTCGATGTCTATCCACATATGGCTGGAGAAAAGTCGGATTACTAAAAGCTCTGGCTAGGAAACTCATTGTCTGCTGTTGTTTTTTCTCCGTACCCTTAATTCTTTCGTCCATCGCCATGACATGGTCCCTTGCAGTCTGCTGTTGCTGTTTAAGTTTAATGACTTCGGCCATCAACGAGTTTCTGTCGCTCTTAAGTCTTTCAATTTCTTCTTCCAAGTCATAGTGCCCTGATTCAACACAAGGACCGCCTCCTTCTTGTTGGGTAATGCTTGGTATGACATTCCTTCTCCTCCTGATGGTCTTCAGGAGATGTTTCTGCCCGCCAAGGAAACACTCATTTGCAAATTCCCAACGATCGGGATCCACTTTTCTGAAACCCTGCAATCAAATGCACTCATTCAGGACCAACTAATCCATTATCTACTTACCGTTAACTTAATCTGCATCACAAGAAGATGAATCAACCTAATAGTGTCACAGTACCAACTAAGCATATTATGCTATTGTTAAAGTTCATCAAGATCACCAGCAGTTTATTAACGATAAAAATGCACCAAAAAAATATAAAAGCTGCAGCAGGATTATCAAAAGATACTCAATAGAACATTTATAACAGCAGGAAGCAAACAACAACATTTGGTCGAGTGCACCAATTTGCATCAAACGTAAAGAGGGCAGGGCACTCAAATCGCATCCCCATTACGCAGAACATCTCAACAATTTACAAACCACAAAGAAAATGAAGACAAAACATCAAAACCAAATACTAAACCGCATTCAGCGGACAAAGTAACCAAGAAAAGATCAAATTGTGCTAGAACGTTGAATCCAATAAAACGGTTCGGCCACAACCCAAAGTTGAACTGAACTCAAATGAAACAGAAAATGGAAAGCAACCCATTAGGAATTAGGCACAATTAGTCAGTAACATCAAAGAAATATCAAAACTTGATTACACTATTCGAAAAAGTAGTAGCCAGTACTTACATAGGTATTAAGCTGGCGGACGAAGCTTGAGAAATTACTGTGCTTGAAGTACTTGGGAAGCAGAGATGTGGAAAACTTATGGGAATCCCAAACAACGAAGCTATTTCTAGCTTTACTCCACGAGATTACTGAATCAGTTGAAGGATCTTCCACCATATCAAATGTCTTGGTCAAGAACGGTGGGGGTCCCATGTCATGCAAGCCCTCCATTGGCCTCGGCGACGAAGATGAACCAGCAGCAGCACCAGTGCTTCCGCCATCACTGAATGGAAAGACGAAGCCCTCTTCCTCTTCTTCTATCTTGATGGTCACATTTTCCATAGCTTGATTGTGAAGTAAAAATTCAATCTTTATTGGGTTTGGTATGTGTGTTTGAGTACTGAGCAGGCAGGCAGTGGACTGAGGAGTTATGGAGCTAAGTCATTTTCGAGCGAAGAAGATTTTGGCAGAAGGGAATTAGGAAATGGGATGTTGGAAAGAATTTAGGGGAGAATGACGCGTTATTTATGGGGCAGGATTGAAATTTTCTGGAGGGAAGAAGAGATATTTAGAGGGGAGTGGAGAGTTCGTTGGCCTTTTGAGGAACTTTATGGGAAGATTCTTTGACAATTCTGTCCTTTGGAAGTCTGTGCTGGGTCTTGAGATTTTGTGGGACAGCTGGTCTGCTGTGGCGGCCACACGAGGACGCTTGTAAATAGTTCTAGAAAGTTCTTGATAGTTCCGGAAGTTTCTGATTTTTGGACTTCTATTCTTTCCCTAGGCATAAATAAGCCTTTATTTCTTTTGGGGTCCTTTTATTCCCCTAAAAACAAATACTTACTACAGCTTTTACTCCTCAAATTATTGGAGGGAATGCATAGAGTCCTTCTTCGTTAACATTTTCATGGCATTTACATGCTAATTTCCCTAATTTAAAGGTTTCAATTGTTTTTCCTCTCTTTTTGTCTCTCCTTTTTGTGTTGTAAGGACCCGTGATGTTTATGAGCTACTTGGTATAGTGGTTCTTGTCCAGTAATTAAGATGATAAAGATTTGGCCTTTGTATTGAGGGCATTTTAATTTGAATCTTGTTATTGTTTAAACTATCATCGATAGATAAATTGTAAAAATCATCATAAACCGTTTCATTATCAATTGAAACACCGTTGCTAAGCCATCTATAAGAATCACTGTGTCGGGACAGTAAATTATTTGGGATAATTTTGTGAAAAAATACTGTAATATTTTTTTAATGTAATGTATGTGAAATAAAAAAGTGATTGAAAAATATATTAATAATATAAATAAATAAGATAAAAATAACGTGTAATCCAAGCAATGGCATGCCTTGACCTCCGAAAGAAATTAAAGTGATAGGAAGCACCTCTGCGCTGATAAAACCGACAAATTCCACCGGTTCTGTTGGGCCCTTGTTTGTTATTCTACGTGTTTGGAATCCACCTTGTACTGGGCGGGTTTGTAATTCTACAACTTTGAAGTCAGCCCAGTTGATTGGTTAGTATCAAATTAATTCTTATTCTCCATTTGAATCCTGCTGGTTTCTGTGAAAAAAATACATATCAAAATGGATGAGAATTAGAGAACACCTGGTTTCCTCCATAGTTGGGCTCGTCGTATTTTAGTCCTGAAATGTTCGATCTTGAGCTCACTCGGCAGGCCAGGCTTGGATTTAACTTTACAATTGTAGGATATGTGGACTACATTTGGGCTCACCCGAGATGCATTCTCCAAAATTGGCTTCCATCGGTCTATTAAGCCTGGCAAATCAGGACGACAAAAAACCATAACCTTGCGGGAGGGTAGTATCAGTTCCGTAATTATTATTGTATCTAGACTAAATCAATTTGGCACTTAACCATGCTTGCACTTCTGTTTGGATTGTAAATTATTTGAAATATTTTTACTGTAACACTTTTTGTGATATGATGCATATGAGATAAAAAGGTAATTGGGAAGATAAAAAGATGTGTTGAAAATTGTAATGATGATGTAAACAAATAAATTTTGACAAATAATCCTCTGTCCAAACAAACATACCATCCACGCTAAACTAAAGCGTTTACTTTGAAGATAGCAATATACAAAAACCATGAATAATGAGTTTGATGGTACGAGAGAGATAGTGTAAATGATAGATTTTGGGTTCGAAATCTTCTCACTTACACTAAAAAAAAAAAAAAAAAAAGGCACGAATTTGTGCATTCTTTTAAATTGAACTTTGGCCATACATACTAAATTTTGCTTCCATATTGACTACCACAAGTATTATGTACACAAGCCCCCGCATAAATGGTCCAGCGGCAGCGCCTCTCACCAGTGAATCTTGACGTCACAAGTTTGAGTCTCCGCTCCGCTGGATTCCTCCGCGTACTTAACGTGTTCTGGCCGAGTTGGGGCGCCGGGGTCGGGCCGCAGGGAATTAGTCGGGCCCCGTAAAGATTGACCCGAACACCCCTGTGTCGACAAAAAAAAAAAAAAAGTATTATGTACACAAATTCATAACCATAACCAAATGATCCAATCAAGATGGACTCCCATCTATTACAACCTCCCAAGAGGACAAAAGCATCCCTTTTGAGCTTTGCCCCAACTCTCCCACTCATAATTCCCAAGTTTGTGACCAAATGCATTGGACCCCTCGATCTTGATCACTTTTTACTCTTTAGGCCTACGTACACTCAAAGACCTAGAACTTGCTTGATGAGGACCAACTGCAACTGAACTCATAGTTGGTGATTGAGGGACGAGGGAGGAGGCCATTGGAATTGGCAAATACTACTAACAAGTCCAGAAAGGAAAGAAAACGGATACTCCTCCACTACCAGCACTTATTGAGCCGACATAGATTCAGATGATGACGTTGGATGGTAGGACCCCATTCTCTCTTACAGACCTGTCATTTCAGCTCAATTGCTGCCTTGCTTGCGTCACCCATGATTCCTTTTGTTTCTTGTTAAAGTTTTAGTCGTCAGTCACCAATGATTCCACTCTCCCTCCGTTCTACGTCTTCGTCTGCTATTAAAGCCGAAGCCTCCGGCGCCGATGGCCTAATAAATTCTGTGCACAATAACATCGCGGCACGGAGCCGGCGGGTGGTGTGGTCTAATGGACTTTGGAGAAATGGATTTGTCTGTACGTGATTGAAATGACTTCAAATTTATCATGCAAGAAGAAATCAAGGTCCTATTTGGCAAATAAGTTTTTGATGACTGCTATAAATTTTTTAATAATTTTAATTATAATAATCTCAAAAAAATTTTCAAAAATTTTAAACTATACATTTTAAAATATTCAAAAAATCTAAACACTTGAAAAAAAACATTTTTTCAACTTTTACAGTAAATTACAGCAAAATTTTAGATAAACATCCAAAAAACGCATTTGCCAAACGAGACCCAAAATTTGCATAGACTAACGGCTTGTTTGGACTGCAATTTTTTTGGATTTTTTTGAGTTTTTAAACAATAATGTTCTCTTAACATATTTTTTAAATTATGTTTTTCACTTTACATGTATTACATACTAGATAGTACTACAATACTCAAAAAAATAAATAAATCTTCTGGAGAATACATTATGAACAATGTCTTGATTTTGTTTAATTAGAGATGAAATAGAACATTTTTATGTATATCTTTGTATTTAATGTTTTACATGCCCAAAAAGGTAAACTCATTATTAGAAACTCTAGAATTATTAATATTCATTCACCTTCTAAAAAATTGGCGCTGAGTTCACTTTTTATTGATTTTATTGTTTTACATGCCCATTTTGATAGTCCTTTTTTTCACACAGTTTAAGAAAAAGTAGTTAATTTTATTGGAACAATCAATTTAGGTAACTATTTTCCTAAAATACCCTTATATTAATTAGAATGCAACTTTATGAGAACTTGAATTGATGGTTTATGAAAACTTGAATTGATAGTAAAAAAAGAATCAACTCTCATTAAATAGGGTAGTTTTATAGTAACAACAACTTACATTGAATAAGGGTATTTTAGGAAAATTAAAATACAAGTACATTTTTCAATTGAAAAGTGGACTACAATTTGGGACAGACGAAAAAGGAAAACAGGACTATCAAAGTGAGACAGAAGAAATAGAAGTTTAGAATTCAATTCCCCTGTTTTCCCTCCTTGTTTATTGAATTTCATCTCTTCCTATTTTTAAAAAAATAATCTTTAAAAAAAAAAAAGACCCCCTCATATATTTTTTTTTGTGTATAATAAACCCTTTGGTGTCTTGAAGCCAATTTGGTCCCCAACTAATACATAATCGAGTCGGGTCAAATTACGCAACGGGAGAAAGCTTTTTCCCAACGCTTGTCTCTCAATTCACAAGACTTTGATAAAGTAACATTTTTCCAAGACTATATGCCTAAAGACTGATTAATATTTTAGCATAAGGTCCTAATAGATAAATGTTATGGGGTGGCATTTCACACGATCCAATGAGACGTACCTGAAGTTGTACCTACACATGGTCTGGGGTGGGAGTACGGGCGATCGCCGGCATCGGAAGGAAGGTGATTGCTGTCCGCTTAGACGTTGGGAGGGATTGCTGCCAAATTATTTCTTTAATTACCTGTTGCACGTGCACCTTCGCATACTTTGTCCTCTAGTGTCCCGCAAGAATTTCATTACTGCCTCAGTAATGCACGATTAACGAAACAATAATATCATTCCTCCGATCCACTTTGATATTCCTGTATTCATTTTTCATCTGTCCCAAATTATAGTCCACCTTTCAATTGAAGAATATAGTTGTATTTTAATTTTCCTAAAATACCCTTATTCAATGTAAGTAGTTTTTGCCATAAACCTACCCCATTTAATAAGAGTTGATTCTTTTTTTATCATCCCATAAAGTTGTACCATATTTAATGTGAGGGTGTTTTAGAAAAATAACAATCTAAATTTACTTTTCCAACAAAATTAATTACTTTTTCTTAAACTGTGTGAAAAAAGAAACCGAACTGTCATAGTGGGACGGAGGGAGTAATAGTAATTCTCAAGCAACGAAATAAATAACAAATATATTCCTGATCGCTTGACGTTGCATGAGTAATTTAGAAAGCCCATAATATTTTAATTGTCCTTGAAAATAGCGAAGTAAACTTCAATTCTATAATGTTTAGATTGGAAGTTTGCAACCACTACCAGCCTGGTTCCGATGACTTTCAGGTGAAATATAATATGCTTGGGGCAGTTATTGGAGTCATAATTGTAAACCCTGTAGAATTTCTTGAAGCTTTCATGAACCAACCATAATTCACAACTTTTAGTGCTAAATAACTTGGCTTGGCATTGGGATTAGGTAGTAGCAATCATGCACAGAAGTTTACACAGACCCTATAAACATGCACTTATTCAATCTATGGAACACAGAAATCAGGGCAAACGTGAATAAAGTCAAGGGAACAGGGATCTAATTGTTCCAATACAATTCGAGCAACTTTGCATAATTCATGGAATGAGGATATGGTTGCCCGAAGCAAGGAGGGTGTGAACTAGCCAAGCAACTTCTTGATGATGTTTAAGC